TTGTCGGTAATAACTATATTTTCAACACAAGACTCACAGAGCCTGAGCACACGTATGGATTTCTGAAGCAGATGCTTGCATAAGCGGCTAGAACATGGGATTTGGGTCCCGACAGCCCTGGTGTCATTCGTAAATCTGCCAGTTACCAGCTTGTGAAGCTGGGAGTCATTTAACCCAGGGTTACTGCACTGTGCTCTCGGAGGTGCTGTTCACGGAGAAAACAAGGTGAGTGATGCTCTCCGTAGTTGTGCAAGGCTGTGACATTCACATTTTCTGAACCTCAGTTTCCATATGTGTAGAATGAGAATAAGGAAACCCACAGGGTTTGAGGAGAGCTTACCACCATCGCGGGGACCACAGCGAGAGCAAAGGCAACGGTGGCAGCATCGGAGGCGATGCCAGCAACTGCTGTCGGAGGCGCGGTGCTCCCGAAGGAGACGAAGGAGACGTGGTCTCCGTGGTCCCTCCTGCACCAGTGCTGTAACCCGAAGACTGTTCCATTTAACAGAGATAACATGGACTGGACTTTTCTGCTTTTTAATATTACTTTTCTCCTGGGAGGTCTTCATGAAAAGTCATCGATTTTGTTATTTAACTTATGTCAAAGAAAGAAGTTAATGATTTTCCCACTCCTTCGAAGCAGATCACACGTAGCACCGTTTCGTGGAGACGCCACAGCCCAGCACCTCGGCGATGTGCCTCCGCAGGCTTTCTCTCTCCCTGGACGCTGTGCACTGGGAATGCTGAGTTATCTCCCTGCAGAGCAGATAGGCTGTGGTCGCAAAGAACCGTGCTAGGCAGCAAACCCAAACGGCCAGATGAAAATAAAATCAGAGAAGAGGTCAGTAGACAAGACATGGAGTTCAGGACAGGGGTTGGGGAAATGGCTCAGAGCTCGGTCTTGGAGTGGCTGGTGTGCACCAGCGTTTCACTTCCGTCCCCAAAACCTCTGAGAGGAGTGTGGACTGGGGAGTCAGGGACCCCTCCGGTCCCAGCTCTACCGCTGAGGCCTTAGCAAATCACTTAACCTTCTTCTTTTTCCTATGAAAAGAGGGAGCTAGATTGTATCAGGGGTTTCACAAACCATATTCAGGCCATGGAGTCCTTTGTTAAAATCAATTTAAGGAGAATCCTTGGAGGACTGAATAAACATAGAGGTGCTCTGCAGAAGTTGGGCAGGTGAGTCCAGAGGTGACTACAACTCACCTCTCCCCTCTGGCAGCTCCGGAGAGAAATCGGAGGGAAATCGGAGGGAGTCCAGGGGTTCCGTGGAGCACACGCTGAGAGTCACTGAAGGAAGTGCCTTCCAACGCACACACTTCACCCCTTAGCTTTGCTGTATCTCCTCAGAAGACTGACCGTGTTTGGTAGTTGATTACATAAAGCTTTATTCTTCAAAGCCCTTCACAGGCTCCTTCCCCTGCTGACAGCTCTGCATGGAAGCCATTCTTTAGTTCACTTTGTTCATGCGCAAAATTGAAGTCTATGCCCTCAAGGCTTCTGAGGGAGACAAAGTCAGAGCCAAAATTTAAAATCAGCGACCTTGCCTCCAGGGAGGAAATAAGAGACTGGTTTTACCACTTGTTCCAATTGTTAGTGTTCTAGTTCACGCCGATTTTATTTGATTCATAATTTTGTTTAATCCTAACCTTCCAAATAACTGAGTTTCTAGAGCCAATAGCAGTTATGGTGAAGCAGCCATGAAAATTTTCATACAGTTTTATTTATTAGCTGTAAGAAGTTGCTGGAAAGCTGAAAGGGAAAACAGATGGTTTTTAAAAATATTCTTCCCTGGAGAATTTGGGGTACTTTCCTATGAGAAATTAGAGACAAGATTTTCCTTGTCATCCCTTTAGGCTGACAGATGGTACAGACGGAGAATAAGAATTCTGGAGCGTTTCCATGGCGATTGCTGGAGAGGCCTGGCCTATCTGCCAGGATGTGTCCGTGGTGCAGTATCTAGGGCAGAGGTGACGCTGCAGAGATTCCTTCTGCAACGCCCACTGATTTTAAACTACTCAAATGGCCTTCGTCAGGCCTCCTTAATCTAAAAATCTATCTCGTAGTTATTGGAGGGAGGGGAGAGTGACACTCAAGACAACAAATTATTGGCTTTTCCTTCCAGATGCTTGTGGTATTGAGTGAAGTGTATATGGACAATGTAATGAAACCGGTGAGTGTGTCATTAATACGAGCTTTTCTTTAAACACGTGCTGACCACTTAAGCAGTGCCAAGCACACAATTCCTGCAAACTGGGTTAATCATCAGCTTCTTTATTTATACACCATGTAAGAGGGGTAGTAGCCCTCTAAGTGTATGGGTTCTGAGCCAGACTTCCTGTGTTCAAATCTGAGCACCACCACTTTTTTTGCAGTTGGTTGACCCTGTATAAGTTATTGAAGTTTGCTGTTATTCAGTTTCCTCATCTATAAAAATGGGAGTGACTGTCGTATTTAGCTCGTAGAGTCCTTAAGAAGATACCATGAATTAAGGTGTGGAAAGGGCTTATAACAAGGCAGGTGTTCCTCTGTGTTAAACGTTAGCATGAGGTATAAGCCCCCAATGCAACTTTATTCACTAATTTGCAGGAGATAAACCTCAGGTGACCTGCTGTCACCTGACAGCAGAAAGAGCAGACTGGTTAAGGTGATATTATCTGGCTCCATGGCCTTGTGCAAACAACTTCATCTCTTTGAACCTCAGTTTTCTTATCTGTAAAATAGAGAGTGCCATGCCCACTTGTTGCTCTCACCACAGAGATGTGATGCATCCCCTTCCCAAAACCTGGGTTGGACGTTGAGACCGATGATGCCATACAGAAAGCACGGGGATCTGAAGAAGTTTGTATCTCACATAATGAGGCTTTTTTGGGAGAGTAAGGTGAAAACAGTTTCAAGAATTTAGAGGGGCTGGGAAAGGACACCGATCCTGGCTTTGGGGCTTATAGCAGTGAGCAGGTAGGGTCTGGGTGGGGGCCCCTCCTTGCAGCTGGGGTTTACAGAGCTTGAGTGTCCCCTCACCATGGAAAGAGGGCTTGCCAAGAGGAAGGGCAGGACAAGGGGCCTGGTGGAACTTGAAAGCTGTGAGTAGCTAAGCACCAAAACTGGAGTCAGATTCTTCATCATACCATTTTAGAGGGTGGTTGTGAGGATTAGATGAGATTACACACAAACAGCCTTTAGTTCAGTGGCCAGCAGACAGAAAATACTCAATAAGTGTTACCTTTTGAAACGCACATTGTTTCTTTAAAAATCACTCAGTTTCACAAACTCACCAAAAAGTTCACAAAGCTTTTTCTTTATTCTATTTGTTCATGCTAGATGCATTTAAAAAAAAAGCACACGCACACTTCAACCTAAGCTCTGCATGTGAAGAAACACTTACCAACAGTCCTCCGCCAATGAAAACATTGTGTTCTAAGGATTGTTTCAAACCAGTTGTCACTAGGAACACTTTTCCCATAGAAACAATGTCATAAACAGAGTGAAGTTTCCAGAGGGATGCTAAAGTTTTTCCTAAACTGTAACACAGTGAAAGTAGTCCTTGATAGAAGAGGGAACCCTGAATTCTAGAACAGCACCTGGGCTTCTTGGAAGCCTAAGCTCTTCAGGCTTCAAGTGACCCTAGGTGAGACTGCACCCTAAGACTTTTGGAAACCTGGGTGAGGAGGAGCATAGGGTAGCTGATGAGGGTCCCATGCAGTTCTGGATGCACTTCCCCGACAATCTCTGAATCAGCCCTAAAGGGATTGTCTTGTTGGGTCTTAGGGCTACCCCACATCTCTGGGGTGAATGGAGCTTACCCTGAAGGGATGGGAAGCATCAACTCTCAGCCCTCCTAGGGAGGAGGTCAACCTAGGGGTCACACGTGAGCACTGCAGGTGTGGCTCTTGAGCTAAAGTGAGTGAAAACATGGTCTTATTTTCTGGAGCCAGACACTGGGGTGTAGGGAGGCCCAGAGAGGGTGTTTGGGCAGAACTGGCTGGTCACATGGACAAGGCCAGGAGCAAGCCATGAGACCACTCAGGAATCCACCCTAAAGTGGGCAGGTGCTGTGCCAGAGAGGGAAGGCACCTCTGCACTCTCTCCTGACCACACCGACAAAGGCAATGGTGCAGCTTGGTTCGTCTGGGCTCTGGAGAGTTACAGGGGTGAGACGGGGTGGAAGAGACAGCAGCAACAAGATGAAGGAGGATGATCTGGCATGGACGGTGGTGGTCTTCAGGAGGAAAGAGCAGTCCAGGGCTGCTTGAGGGCAAGGGACAGCCCGGGCAGATTTGCAGAAGAGAGTATCAGTCCTTTACAAAACACCTGCTATGTCTCAGAGACTGTGCTAGGTGCTTTATTTTATTAACACACCCAAACTTTCTAATCACCGATGCACTCCTACTATTCCATTATACAAATGGGGAAAGTGAGGCATGGAGAAGTTAAATAACTTGCTCAATCTCAGACAACTAGTAAGTGGCGGTACCAGGAATTGAACCTAAGCAACTTGGCTACTGAAGCTGGGCCCTTAGTCACCATGTTTCACTCTCTCTCACATAGCAGCATTCACCAGGGGCAGCCCCACAAGTATGCAGAAAGGTGTGCATGGCAGCAGGCCAGACCTCCTGCTGGAAGCAGAGTGGGGGCTGGGACAACAGTGGGCCAGAGTGGCTTTATGTTCTGGTGTGATTGGCACCTACAGACTATAATATGCCTTGCTCACATCCTAAATTCTCTTATTTATTCTTTCAGCAGAGATGTGTCAGATGTTGTAATGAATGCCAGAGATAAACAGACCAGTGAGATTTGGTCCCTGTGCTCCAGATGTTCTTACTGTCCAGTGAGGGAGCCAAAGAAACAACAAAGGAGCCGTAAGGAGGGATCTGCACAGCCAGAAACCTGGGGCCGGCACTGGCTCATCGGCCCCGCTATCAAAGTGTTCACTTCCTCCCAGCCACCCTCCTCCCTCTGCCTGGTGGGTGTGGAACATCTGCTGGGCTCAGTCAAGGTCTCCTTTCCTCTGAGAGCCTGTCGCTGTCTCCTGACCCGATGCCAGTCCGAGGCGGGATCCAAGAAAACACTTGAGATTTGCGTGTGCGGGGTCTGTCTTCCTACCAGGTGGGAGCTGCCTGTCTCTCATTTACTGCTGCGTCCCTCTCACCTGCGACAGGATAGGTGCTTCCTGATCATACGCCAACTCTATCTGTACAGGTGTGAGATAAACATGCGAACCCCCTGATAAAATTGAAAATGCCTGAAGAACTTATTTGATATTTAGGAATAGGATTTTCTTTCAGGCACTTTTGGTTGGACTGTGTGTGTGTGTGTGTGTGTGTGTAATTTTTATTATGGAAAATTTTACTCAAGAGCATGTATGTATGTTTAACAGGTAAGGATTTCTTTTTTTAAAGGAACCACCATCTGGCTGGAATTTCTAAACTAACTCGTGTCAACTGGATATTTTTTATGAAGTCATTATTGAGAGAATTTATAGAATCATTCGTTATTAATATTCTTCTGATGTGTCATGAGATAAATTATTTGACATTCATTCTTTTAAAACCATTTCCTTTACTTATTCATATAAAACCTCACCACCAAACCCTCCTATTGTTATTAAACAACCAGAGGGGAAATAAAGGCAGGGCCCTCACCATCTTAATCCAACACGAAACTTAATGCAGGAGGCCAAAAGCAAAGGATGATTTGGCTCGCCCAGTAGTCCTGACCCTGGTTCGATAAGACTGCCAGGCATTCCGAACAATGTGCGCAAAACTATCCTAGTTTGTGGGTGTTGGGGGAGCCCTTGAATGTGTGTGTATCATCTCCACTAGCTGGGACAAAGAAAACCGTTAAATTGTGTATTCCTCCCAAGGCCTGGAAAGGGGAGGGTCTACAGTGCCCAAAAGAAAAAGCCTCTAGAACAACTTTGGTTAATTGCTAGCCCCCCATAATGTATGGGAAATGAACAAAGGGAATCTGCAGCAAGATGAGGATTCGGGCTAACAGACCCCACATGTACCTACGTTTGGGTAGTCACGTCTCCCCAGGGGGGAAGTGGCACCACCCTTACCCATCAATTAATATGTAACTCCCTCACCCCCATCCCACCAACTATATAGTCCTCAGAGCAAAGGACTCTCTCTGTCTTGGCTCCTGGCCCTCTTGACTCATTTGCCACACTGGGGGGTGGGGAGCCCTGGTCAACCAGCCCTCTGGCCACCCTGCTTTTGCCACCCTTGTTCTAGCCACCTTACTTCTGCTATCTTATTAGAACTTAGCCTCAGTAAACTTTGTTTGCACTCTAGTAGGCTTGCTGATCTGTAATTCTTCACTGTGTTGGCAAGAGGAACCGAGTTTCTGGGAGTTTCTCCCATAACATATTATCCATTAAATGCAATCATGTTATTCAGCCTTTTGGTAACAGTGGTAAATGGTAAGGTGACTCACCTACATGTTAGCAGCCAAGCAGAAATGTAACATCACAGGCCGTAAGTTCTGTCCTCACTCACTCCTAAGGCTTGTGCCCTGCAAAGTGATGTGCTAAAGAAAGGCAATCCTTGGAAAGATGAGAGCCTACACAGGGGAACTGTTTCTTCATGGATGTGAGGTCTACGTGAGTTAATGGTGACAATGCCTGGCACACGGTAAGCAGTTGTTGCTGCTGTGAAACCATTAGGTAGATAGTATTAATATTCCCTGTGAAGCCTGTTGCTATCTGCTCCATGATTGTAGGGGTTTTTGTCTGTTGTGTTTCTTGCAAAATCACAAGTGCCTCTTAGAATTGTACCTGACTCACAACAGGGACTTCATACTTGCTAAATATTAGTTAACCCAACTTTAACCCAACCTAACCTACTTTTCACCCGGCAATTTATGGACACCAAGGCTATCTTCACCTCATTTCCTTCCCTGGGTCCCATTTAAGGTCAGTCCTATCCAACTCCTGACCACTGACTGTCTCCAGTTTTCATGCTTATTCCATCCTTTTGGGTGTTCACACTTATCCTGATTTCCTGGGTGGGCCAAGGTGCTCTGCAAGGAGTGTCAGCCTCTGTCTCTTTCCTGCCCCACCTCCCTCCTTTATAACAAACTCTCCCACAAGCCTCACTGATTTTTCCCTAAATATCTGTCACCTATGAGCAGGCAGTATTTCAGGTCTTGGAAATGCAATGGTGAAGAAGAAAGGCAGGCTTCCTGGCCTCTGTGGAATTAGGCTAAAATCACCATGATGTCTGTTCTCTTCTTCTGTTGAGACCCATAGGTGGGAAGAGACAGAGAGAGTTTCCTCCAGCGAATGGGCTGCAGAGCCATGGAGGTCGAGAACCATTACTACACTGAGTGGTGCCCAGCCCTGGCCCCTCTGCTATACCCTCCCCACAGCGGGGGACTCCCCTCCTGCTTGGCTTCCCTTTCACATCTCAGGGCCCAGCTCAGAGTTGTCTGGGATCACATCATGGGCCATGGCAGAATCACAAGACTTTTTAGAGGGAATCTTCTTCTGTTCAATCCTACCCCTTGAACTGCTGTGTATCGAGTTGCTAAAAGAAGAATCAGAATGTTTTTCTTCTTTGCTCTCTGTGAGTCAAGCCCTGGGCACCAGAACACAGTGGCGTCCCTAGAGAATTGAGTCATTGTGGCAAAATTGTCCCTCTTTGGCCTAGAAGACTATCTACTTATTTTCTTCAGGATGCAAAGGGAAGAAGAAAAACAGGAGCAAACGCTCATTCTGTGTTTGTTTATGTCTATGGTCAGCCTAGGCAGAATTATGTTTAGACAGATGCAATGTATGAAATGGAAACTGCCTTTCCTCTAAAGAAGCGATTCTGTGACATTACAGTGTGCATCAGGGTCTCCGGCACGGCTTGTTCAAACACAGGTTGCTGCTCCCTCCTCCCCCAGAGTCTCTGACTCAGCAGTTCCGGGGTAGAGGGTGTGCTCCCTGGTGGTGCCAGTGCTGCTGGGCAGGAGACCACACCATCCTCAATAACTATTTCTAATTTTTCTCTAATAGAAATAATAGCCACTTGTCTCTGATACTTTTCCTTCTGTGTCCTTTTAGAATCTTTTTAAAGGTCCTGAGGACTTAATTGCTGCTTTGACTACCAAATATCTCACATCTGAGAGCCCAGGTAAGCTTCATCTCAGTCTTCCTTGATCAAACTCCATACCAGCCTTCACCCTCCAAAATTCCATGGCAGGTTGTTGCAACTACCGTTGAAACTTCGTGACAACACTAAAACGCGCTCTACCAGCTCTCTACGAACTTCATTTCTGCCCATAGTTTCCACCTCCTATGTCTGGACATTTGGTTGTTTTAGGAGACGACACCAAAGTTTTACTTCATGGTAATTAGGCCCCACCTGACTAAAATATGTGCTCTAAAAGTCCCTGGACTTGCCTACCAAGCTTTGTCCTGGGGTCAATGATTATTGGAACAGTCTGCACAATTTGGCTACTGTTCTGTTTTCTGTGGGCGTGGGGGAGGGGTGGTGGCAGGAAAGCAGGTTAAAAATAAAATACTTCAAAGGCCATCTGTTCCTCATAGTAATAAACCCAATTGGAAAATTGAAAAATAAAAACTGCATGCTAATAACCATAAATCACAGTAAAATTTTCCCCAAACTCTGCAATTTTACACAACAGTCTGAAAGCAGGGATAGCTTTTACCAATAAGTTGCTACATGTAAAAAGTTCGAGGGCCCTGGTTGTGACTGCGGTAGCAGCCTGCCTTTCCTCAGGAGACACCCGGGAACTGTGAAAACCCTCTCTCAATGTCTCACATTTGCACAGCAACAACACTGTCTAGCACTTACTTATGCAGTGCTACCAGCTTCAGGTACAGCTTTCTGCTCTTGAAGTAGGCTAACCCTGGCCCATGTTTGACCCTCACAGCCACCCTTGGAGGCAGGTGCTATCATTATCCCAGGGAAACTGAGGCATGGAGATAGTCAGAAACATTACAAAAGGTCATGCCCTCATAATGTTTGCTGCACCCAAGTACTGCCTCATCTGTGAGGTGCTGAATTTTCTTTTTTAATCTAATGCTTTTTTTAAAAAAACTTAAGTTTACTTCAAAAGGAAACTTCTTGTCTCCAAATGTCAATGGAAAATCAGTATCACTTGCCACAAATAGGAAGTAAGAAAATGGATACAGTGAACAAAAAGCTGTGGTAACTTCTACCTCATTTCTCTTGCTTGCCGAAGTCAGAGATTTGCTTTTCATTAACAGAGAAGGGGGGAAAATGGGGAGGAGCAGGTGTTAAAGATATAAAATATAAATACCAAAATATAAATATAAAACAAATAAAAAATAAAATTGAATATGTATTCATGCCAGAGTCTCCTTAACATACTCCTAACAAGGGAAAGACTTTTAAACATAATTTTCTTATGTGCTCTGGACTCTTTGCTTTATTTGGGCCCTTCCTCTCCATCTGACTGCCCTGGGCCTCAGTTTTCTACCTGAAAATGAGAACAGCCTCAGAGGTTTAGACATAACACTTACCTGCATAGAATAGACACCCGATAAATCATTGTGGACGATGGTCCCTTCTTAGGGGAAGAGAAGTGACATGCCACATAGCTTAGTTCTGTGCTTGACATAAAGCACAGAAATGGGCTCTCACGTGTCCTTGCTTCAGCAGAGCAAGGGCCAGCTAGGGGAGGTAGGTGTGAAAATTCACATTCAGCGATGACTAACTAAAGACGCTTGGAGGGCTATTGACACAAGGAATCTGCTCATCTGCTGGGTGTTCTATGTAGGTGGGAAGAGACAGGAAACTTTGAATTTGAGTAGCTTAAAATTATAGGAAAACAAGGGAGATCACAGAATCCAGGCCCCTTAGGTCGTGGGCAGGACACTGAGCTCTTGGGCTGCAGGATCCTGCCCAGGGTCCCCAAGCAGTGAGAGGCAGCTGGATCCAGGCCCCTCCAATCACACTGTGCTCCCCTGGCCCAATGCCGCATGAACCCTTTCTGCTGAATGAGTCCTCTCCAGGCTCTGGGATTTGGAAGGCACGGCAGACCTATACCCCACGTTTCTGTGGTCTGGGCCCCAGCACCGCAATTTCCAAAGTGAGTGTTGGCGTCAATGTTATCTACTAATTTTCTAAAACATTCGTAGCCTGTCTTAGAAAACCAGAAAAAGAAAAAAAAAGATACTTCTGCCAAGTCCTGATTACATCAATTCTCCAAAAACAAATCCATACTCAGTGAAAACAGTTCAACCTGGCAGGGGCTGGGGGTTGGGGTTGGTCCGTCTCAAGGGAATTTGGCTTCATGCTTTGGAAAATGGCCTGGCCTTTTCGCAGCCCCTCTCCAAAAGGGAAGGACAATGAGGAGAAAACAAAACAGGAGCGTGAGTAACAGGCCGAAAACCTGGTGCTGAGCGGTGACACTAAGTTCCAGATGGATCAGGAAGGCGCAGCCCCAAACTCCTCTCAGCAAGAAGGGCTGGGTGTGGGAGCATGTGGATTGCACGAGAAGACAGGGGAGGAGAAATGTAGCCCCAGGAGAAAGAACATCATGAAGTGGTACTGGCTGTGAGTCATACTCATACTCACTCCTGGAACCCTTCTCAAAAAGGAATTTGGATCCTTTTTGGGGAAACAATTTTTTCCTTACAATTTTTTTTAATAGCAAACAAATGCCTGCAGGCCTAGCTGGAAGGTGCATGTGTGAGACGGTGGCCAGGCAGAATCAAGTGAACCAGACAGCACCTGTCTTTTTTAGAAAGTCAGCCAAGGAGCAGCTTCTGGGTTGTTACCCTCAGGACCACGGCTGCAGAATGCCAGATGTGCTGGTATTCAGCTGTTGTCTCCTCTTCTCTGTTCTGCTGAGTGATGCTGGGGCCTTTCTCCTTTGTCAACCACCCTCCTGTTAGGTCCTGCCAGTAGGGGGCACTAGAGGCAGCTAAGATGGCAGGAAATGGGCAGAAGGGACTTGCTCTCTCCTATTAGTGGAACCACCAGCCTCGCCCCAGCAATTACCTTCACCCCAGCAGCAACAGCTGGTTCCAGGTTCCAGCTTCCTTGCCCGCTCCACATCCCACAGCCTGACTGGGCCCCCATAAAAGTCCCAGTAGTTGCCAGGTAGCTGATCCTTCTGAGGCTGCAGCCCACAGCTCCTTCTTTGAGGCTCTGGGCTTTGATAAACAGGGTTATCCCCAACCCTAGTAGTGTGGCCCCTTCTTGCAATCACCATACATGGGCTACCTTGGGGTCCCTCTTTGTTACTCCACAGCCTCCCTAACACTTGTTTCATGAATCCCCTATACTAAACCTCTGCTGAAACATGCTGTGTGGGTTTTATTGAGCTGACCGGACTCTGACTAATCCACTAGCTCTTCTGATTTTAAGAGAAGCCAAATATCCAGATTAGTCTGTGGGGAAGAAAGACATGTGTCTGAAAAGCAAATTCAGCCAGGTAGCTGGCACAGGGTCCCTCCCCACTTGCTGGGAACCTCACAGCTACACCCATCCCCAGCGGCCCCCCTGCCCCCCAATGAAGGGAACAACTTGTCCAAAAATAAGGCTCTTCCAAAGGGATGGCCTGTGGCCAGTGACTGGCTGATTCAGGGAAACAGCCTGGCCCCCAGCTTCCATTTGCGACACAGCTGGAGGGCCGCCTAGCTTCAGAGCTCCCTGCAGAATCAGCCTTATAAGGCATCTGGGTTGCAACCCCATGCGAGGTCAGCTTCTTCACTTGCTCAGTCTGCCTTCCTCACGTTCTTCTCCGGCTCCCTGGAGAACGCCCTTGTAACCTGATTGCATGCAGCTCTCCATCTCCAAGTCTGTTTCCAGGGAACCCGGTCTAAGCCCAGGCTGGTCTTGTTTGGTGTATAGAGAGGAAAGGAATGAGGGTCAAAGAGTAAAGAGCTGGGAGAATAACTGGGAGAGTCTCTGCAAAATATTAAGTGGGGGGCAGTGAAGAGCACCCCGAGGCAAAATGGCCATTAGAGAGCACAGTGACTTCCTGCAGCAGCTGTCATTCCCCAAAGCCAGGAAGACACAGCAGCCACTTCAGCCTTTTCTATCTCCCCAGAGCTTGAATGGACAGAGCAAGAAACACTGCCAGGCACTTTATTTGACTGTAACTTGAACTTGCTTCACCAGCAGAGGCCTCCCACAGTTGAATGGGGGGATCAGTGCCCCTTTTGCATCTGCACCTGGCTGGCGGCATGGAAGAGTGGGAAATGGACTGTGCCCTCCTTCCCGTTGAGCAGTGTTGGGGCTACACGTGATGGAGATGCTGACACAGTCCCAGCTCACAGCCAGAGGAGGAGGAAAGGCCGAACTGCACCCCCTTGTGACTGACTCTCAGCCAGCCCAGCGAGGAAAGAGAACCAGCTGAGCAGACTCCTCACCCGCAGCAGGAAGGAGGCTCTGCTGCCACTGTGCGCTGCACTGGCTGGTGCAGAAGAGAGGATGGGTGCTGGCCAGGTTTGGTCTTCAAGGATCTACAGGAGGCAGCGTGTGAGCCTCCATGCCTGTCCTGCTTTGGGGAACATGAAACTGCTTTTCCATTAAAGTGTAACACGTGCCTTTTCCTGCCACCCCCTTCTGCAGCTCACTGTGTCTGCCTGATCAGCAGGTCAGTCAGCACAAGCCAGACCACGTCAGAGGGGAGACGTAGGGAGGCAGGGGTCAACCACGCTGTAATCTTTAACTATATTACTTAAAAGCAACTGGAGAAAACTCATTTTAATTTTCAACTTCAAAGAGAGGCCAAGGCCAAGGGGATTACTATAGAATCCCCTGGGGACATATTGAGGAATAACATTTCGAAGGGCATGAAAAATAAAATAAATAAGTTAATGAAATAAGTGAGGCTTCTCTCTTATCAGAGGTCTGCAGCCTTGCTGGCTCCTGTCTGTCTGTGGGTTTGGCATTGTCGGGGAGCAGCAGGGACAGAAAAATAACCACTGGCATTACAAGTGTGAGAAACAATCATATTCCTAAAATGTGTCACTCAGTCCCATCTTTGAATGTGTGCTCTGATGAATAGATACCGAGAAGTTAGTTTGGGAGTGAGTCGTTACAGTGATTGATTATCCAGCACCTTGCTATCAGATCAGTGGCAGAACCCGAATGCTGGTGAGCACACACACTCCTGTCTGACAGGTGAAGTTCAGAAGCATTGACATCCCTTATTTGGAATATTAAACAGGTCCAAACCTCCCAGAGTATTTCAAATGGCAACATTCCACTTCCGGGCAATCATGGGTTCCTTTAAACATGTAACATCACAACTGGCCACCCTAATTTAAAGTAATATCTTAATCACAGCCTTCTTCTTTTATCCATTCAACAATGAATGATCGAGCCACTGCTCTGTGCCAGACCCTGAGCATGGCTCTGTGAAGGCAAAGAGGCAAAGCAGAAGCAGTCCTGGCCTTTCTGGAGCCCACCGTCTGCTGGAGAATACAGACCTTTGGACAAGTAAGTGATGTCAAGTGTGCCGCGTGTTGTGCTGGAAGGACTAGTCTTACTCAGCAGCCAAGGACGGCCTCCCTAAGGCAGCAACAGCTTCAGAGAGTTGGATACATTGAGAGATGAGGGGAGGAGAGAGCTCCTGGAAGGAAAATCATCTTTGGAGGCCCAACCATGAGACTGTATGGCACATAAGAACAGCTGAGAGCAGCCCCAGATGGGAAGCAATGAAGGCTAGTTATGGAAGGTGGCCACGAACCAGGTATGCAGTGCCTTCCACGCTAGACTACTGATCTGTGGCTTTGCCTTTCAATATAAACAGGGCAGTGACATGGTTCATAGATCCCTGTGTCTGCAGACTGCAGAGTGAATTGAAAAAGGACAAGAGGTGAGGTGGGAGGTGAGGTAGGGAGCAAATGCTCTCATCTAGAAGGGAGACAACAGTAGTTTGGATCAGAATGCACAACATATAAAGGAGAGGGTGAAAGATATTTCAAAACACCTTCCTGAAAAATTTATAGGGGTGAAATCAGCAAATTTGGAGACTGAGAGCGCTGGATGTGAAGGGCCAAGAATGATGCCCTGGGTTCTAGCTTGCCTCGCTGGGGTGGATGGCAGTGTCTGTTCCTGATGCCAGAGACACAAGAGTGGAGCAGTTTGGAGTGGGGGAGGGGAAGGGAGGAGTGAGGATGGGTGCAGGCCTGAAGGGCAGGTCCAGCTTTGATTGTGACCTGCTCTGAGCTTTCTGAGTGCACACGTTGAAGATAGAGGTTTGGAACTGATACAGTTATGGAAGTAAAGAAGGGTTTGAGAGTCAAACAAATGAGTGAGATGATATAAATCTGTGGCTCTCAAACTTTTTAACAAGGATCTACAATAAGAAATGTATCTTACACTGCCCCCACACACACCCCCAAAAACAAATACTCTGAACGATTCTTACCTTTGTCATATGTGACGGTCAGTGACTCTCTTCTCCCTCCCAGCGCTGGTTGCTACCTTCTACGTTGATTTAAAGACCTGACAATGCGTTGCTATCCACAACTTGAAAAGTCTGGAGTGCATGATGAGAAAAAAAGAGGGTCCAGCACAGCGCCCTCAGGAATTCCACTGTTTGGGGTTCACCTGGAGGATGTGGTGCTTACAAAGAAGCTAGACAGGATCCAATGGGGAGGTGGGCGGAAAGGACCCGGGCCAGCAAGGGCTCTCCTCACACTTGTAAGATGAGCACAGCAGCTCCGAAGATCATCTTCGATAGGGAAACTCCAAGGCTAGCAAGTGCCAAGCCTTCACCATGGGCCCCCTTTTTAGATCAAGGGAGCCCTTTCCTAGAGACCCCAAGCAGCCTTCCCTGTCATCTCATTGACCAGAGCTGGTCACGGGACTAAGCTCAGCCAATCACTGGGAAAGGCAGTAGATTTATCTTGATCAGCTGAGGCTGATTAAGAGCCTCACCAGTGGGGCTGGCAGGCTTACCCTTCCAGAGCACAGGGTGGGGTGAACCCCTGACCGATACCTCTAAGAAGGAAGGGGCTGGGGGAAATCATTATGGTGTGCAGACTCCTTGCTGCTTAAAGTGTGGTTCAGGGCCCAGTAGAATGGGTCCCCCTAGGGAGACCCCACCCGGGGCCTGCTGAGTCAGAATCTGCATGCCCTCCAGAGCCTGCAGTGATCCACACGGACTTGTGATTTGAGGAGCCTTGGCCTTCACACCAAGGCCCTCCCGGTGTCTGCCATTGCGGCTTCCTGCTGCCCTGCTCTTTGTCCACTCCTCCCCTCATTTCATCTGTCACAAATGCCAGGGCGCCACACATGCTTTGCAGTGTGTGTATTTATTCTAACATGTCCTCGTCTCATTTTCTGCACAGGAAGACAGGGCAGGGTTTTTCTATAAACATAGCGAGCCCCTGGCTGTGACCAGCCCAAGCCATTAATATTGTTCCTTCAGAGCACCCTGTTCCTGTGAGGCATGAAACCCTAGCCCAGGGCTGACAATGTCCATTAGCTGCTAAAAAGTTCTGTATTCTTTAGCAGTCCTAGGAAGGATTTGGGGTTTTGCGTGCTTAAAAACAATTTATTTTAGTATAGTCCAAATCATTTCACTGAGTCTGCAGGATTACAGACTTTGCATAAGAACTTCCTCACACAGGCAGTGTGAGCTGACCCTCTCTCCAAGGCTCAGCAAATATTAAACATACTGGGACAAGCTTTCGTGTAGTGAGTTCTGTGCAGGGTCTGGGGCTCTGGGATTTTAGGAGAAATAGAGAGAGCCTGAAAAAAGGGATGAGTTGAGTGAAAGAATTGGAGGATCACACTTAAGAAGAAATGTTAAAAGAATTAACACACATTAAGAAGAATGAGAAGTATTAAACACACAGAAGGACACATTTCTATTCAGTAATTTTTATTCTTTTTTTAACAAAAAATCAGCTGTGGCTACTCCGAATCTGACAAATTGTCTAAGTGTTAACATATGTCCTTCTCAACTCTCTTCCTACTCATTCATTCATTCATTCATTCATTGATCACTTATTTTATGTAAAGCACTCTGCTCTAATATTTTGTTATTTTACTCAAATTGGCATGGAAACATATTCCTCTAAGAGCTGAGACAACACTGATTCATCTGAGACCATGTACCCGATACAGTTCTGTGGCAACTTCAATCTAAGGGCACTGCTCCGTGTCCATGACTGAATGGCATTCCCAGTCTCCGATCCCTTGCTCATCTCACCCGCCCTCTTCCATCCCATCCGTCCACCCATCTTTGCCTCAACATGCCAAACCCTTTCATGCAGTTCCCTTCATTGGAATACCTTTCTCTCTAAAATGTCCTTCGATGTTTCGAAACTCATTTGAAAGCATTTAAAGTTGCTCTGCTAAGACTTCTGTGCTCTCACCACTTAAAATTAATTGTTCTTTCCTGTGTGTTCCTCTAACATGATGCCTATACCAGAGTTTGGTGTCATGGTTGCTTGTCTGCATGTCTCACGGTAAGCTTTCTAAAGAAGAACAAAGACTAGGTCTTATTCTTTGTGATGCCCCTGCACCTGGCTGCATGCCCGGTGAGACAGGGTTAATGGCAGTCACCAGACATTTCTGGCCATTAGTCTTCTGAGCCTATAGTAAGTTTCCACTTCTTGGTTCCCAGTGATTGACTAGGGACATGTGGCCAATTATCATCAGTGAGTTATAATCAAAGTGCTGTGTGACACCTCTGGGCGGAGATTTAAATCACCAATGTAAGACCCCTCTATGTCATCTTTTCTCTTGGCTCTTGTGGCTGCTGCTGTTTTGGAGAATAGCTCATTGCTCAGCTGGGATAATGTCAGCTTATAGGAGAGACCCCGCTGACCTATGATGGACATAAGAAGTGACTAAGAAATAGCTTGTGTTACTTAAAGTCACTGAGACCTGGGATGGTTTGCTGCAAAGCAAAGCCTAGCTCATCCCAGCGATACGCTTGTAAATGGTGGGTACTTGGTAAATACTGTGAGTCCATAATTTTTTTAAAATCCATTAGAAGCAGCAGCCAATAATTTTTATCAACTGTAAGCTAATCAAGTAAAATCACGAGCCTTAATCTCAGGTGTCGAGAGAGCCGCTGTGACGTGAGAGGAGCTGTGACATGAGATGAAGAGCGTGGGCACAGAGCCAGTAGGTGAGGGGTTGCGCCCTGGTTCTCAGGGACCTCAGTCACGGCTCCTCTCAGAGCCCCAAAGCCTCCTGTCTCGGGTGGAGCTGATGTTCACCTTGCAGTGTTGTTGCAAGAATTAAAAACAGGAAATGAATGGTGCTTGGCACATGGTGGTACTTAAAACTGATCATTTCAATTGTTTTAGATGTATTTTTCATATTGGACCCTATGAGATGTGAGAAACTGAGACCCTACGCCTATTTCAATTTAAACCAAGGTACTCACTGCTACTCTTTCCAATACACCCAGGGCAAGTCAGCCCCCTCAATCCTCTTCAACTCATCTTGCAAAAAATAAATAAATTTGGGCCCCTATTGATTTTTTTTATGTGAGGCTATTACTTGTGAAGAGATAATAATTTATGTCTACATCTCACTTACTCATTCAGAGAGAGGGATGTTTTTAATGAATTATTCAGTTTCCCTCTGTGGGATACACTGGTGACTCATTTTAAATAAATAGATGT